CCATGTTCACATCCCTAACGGTTTTCCCTTCTTAGCTGATGCACCCATACACGCGATGACCCACATTTTTCATTAGTCCAGATGCGACTTCACGGTCCGCTAAGCCCGTAGCCAACCCGAACCCTTGAGTAGTGTCAATTTTCCAACGGCGTGAGAAGCCGATGGTGACAAAGGCACTTTAGAGAGTGGGGAAAATGGAAGGCCCGCTTTGCGGCGAGGGGCGAGGAGAGCTCGGTTGCTACACGCGGCCGATAGGCTGCATTTTCGCGAAGCCCGTTCCCCACTGATCGAAACAGCTGAGCAAACAACCACCACACCACCGCCACAACAGATGTGTATTGCGTAAAGCAAACGTACATAAGAATAAATATTGCGCAAAATGCGATTACATAAAGCTAGTGGCCAAACCTCTCTGATAAAGACGGAGAAGGTGTGTCGCAATCACTGCATCATTGACCTTTCCCGAAGCTGGCAACTGAAGTAGGGACATGATATTTGCTTCATAGTTTGGCAGAGGGTTTAACCGTTTGTTCCAGAATTCGAAACCTGTTTATTCTCGTGTGTCGTCAACTGAATGGATCAACAGCTTTTTCTTGAGCTGTGACACGGCAACTTCAGACACACGCGAAGAGCCTCGGACCTGGTTCTTATGTGACTCTGCTATGTTGACGACGGGCCCTAGCTCACCCTCCTTCCGTTTTTAGGTGAAATACATAAGAGGCCGAGAATTACTGTGAACAAAGCAAAAGTTTGGGCTCGGAGTAGGCTTGTTAGAAGCATACAGTAGGTCGCTGTATTGATGAGGTAACTTTCTCTAATTATCGCTCAACAATGAGGTCTTCGAGCTATGCGTAGGAATTGTTCCAGACATTCAACGTTTTCTACATAGAGGACACTGTGATCGATGCATCACTGCTTCACCTACTCAGAAATTGTTTCTTACAGTTCCGTGGAGAAGGATAGAATGGAAATTTTGTTACGCAGGAAGAAGAATTCTTCACCTAACGTTAAAGGAAAGCAAGAATTCAGTGGCTGTTCAGTTTTACTCTTTTGAACAATATAGTACTCTTGCTAACGCTTCCGATACTGTAGGTCAAGAGACAGTATGTATGTGTCTAAAACGTGTTTGTAAGCAACTGTACCTTCAAAAGAGTAGGTAGCTACTATAGGCTACAAGGGGTCCCTTGGCCGATCATAGATGCTATCCGATAACCTTCGAAGGAAGAAAGCTCAAGTAGCGTTCCGCTGACAACAGTTTGAGTTTCGACGTTAATCCTCCAATCAGCAACAATCGGTATGAGGGAAACAATATCAAAGCTGCTCAAAGCCATCAAGAGGTTCAGGTGTAAGTGGCAATTTCAAACCAATGCACACGCATGGCTTAGGTTTAAACATCAGATCGATACTCACCCAAGCTAGTCGAGCTATCTATTCTCCCGCGGTAGGTTGATTGGCCCCGAACTCATCTTTGAGAATAAAAGAATTAAGTTGTTCAACTGCTGGCTACCGCAGGTCACTGTATCGGCCACCTACGCATTCAAACCGCCACCACGATTCTGAATGGTAGTCGAAAGTGGGGCGCACCCCTCTGACAGCATGATTTATGCCAAAGACTTCATCCCTCATCCTTTTGAGTTTCAGTGCAGAAATCCTTTCGACGAAACAAACTCCGGGCGTCAAACAGCGTGTCCAATGAAATTACGTTGGTTTTCATTCTGAACGCAACGTTTTCTCTTCTACGAGATTGTTTTTATTACCTGTTTGCTG